AGGCCTGCGGGGTCTTGGACGTCGGGGGGTGGGGGGCGGCCTCCGGCCGGGAAAGAGGCGGGGAGAGGGCGGAGAGGCGCGGTGGGGAAGGAGGCGCGATTCCCCGCCCTTCCCGCAGGTGCCCGGCACCCCTGGGCAAAGAGTGGGCGAGGGCGCAAGGCCGCGGGTTGGAGTGGGGTGTGGGGGGGCGGTCCGGTCTGTCCCCACTTCGCACTGTCCCTTCCACCCGCTAGATTTCGTCATCTCAGCGCATGACTCCTCTCTCCGACCCACTTTCCTCCCCCCTCCCCCGCCTTTTAAAAAATATTTTATTTATCTCTGTCAGAGAGAGCAGAAGCAGGGGGAGCGGCCGGCAGAGGGAGAAGCAGGCTCCCCGCTGAGCAAGGATCCCAATGCCAGACTCCATCCCAGGACCCTGAGATCATGACCTGAGCCCAACGCAGATGCTTAACTGACTCAGCCACCCAGGCGTTCCCGCTCTTCTCCCTTTAACCCCACACAGTTCAGGCCTCACGGTCCAAAGGTCGCAGGATACCTGCTTGGCTTTTCCTTGTCTTAATTTTTTAGTTCTCTCCAATCTAGAGGCGCATGAACCTCGCCTACCGGGGTCTGAAGCCCGGCTCTCCCATTCTCTAGCCCTGTAGGGACAGGACTCTAACTCGACCTGTCTATGCTTCAGTTTTCTCCCTGTAAAGTGGTAATAATATTAGCACCTACCGGCTAGGGGATCCGGAGGACATAGGAACAATTGTTATTTTTCACTGCAAGAGATACTATTGATTTGCCATTTATACTGATTTTATAAAGTTAATTTTTAAATGTACTTATTTTTAAAAGAGCTCATCTAGGAGCGCCACTGGGTGGCTCAGTGCGTTAAAGCCTCTTCCTTCTGCTCAGGTCATGATCCCAGAGTCCTGGGATAGAGCCCCGCATCGCATCCGACTCTCTCTGCTCAGCAGGGAGCCTGCTTCCTTTCCTCTCTCTCTGCTTGCCTCTCTGCCTATTTGTGATCTCTGTCAAATAAATAAATAAAATCTTTTAAAAAAATAGAAAAATAAATAGACAAAAGAGCCCATCTACGCCAAACTATGGAAGCAGCCTAAGTGTCCGTCTACAGACGAATGGGTAAAGATTTGGCATATACTTATAATATTATTCAACCATAAAAACGAATAAAATATTGCCATTTGCAACAACATGGATGGAGCTGGGGGTATAATGCCAAGCAAAATAAGCCAATCAGAGAAAGATGAATACCATATGATTTCACTCATGTGTGGAACTTAAGAAACAAACAAACAAACAAACAAACAGAAACCTGGGCGCCTCAGTTGATTTCAGTTTAGGTCAAGATCTCAGGGTTGTCAGATGAGCCCCAGAATAGGCTCCATGCTGGAGGAGGAGCCTGCTTAAGGTTCTTTCTCCCTTGGGGCACCTGGGTGGCTCAGTGGGTTAAGCCTTTGTCTTTGGCTCAGGTCAAGATCTCAGGGTTCTGGGATTGAGCCCCACATCTGGAATCCCTCTCAGCGGGGATCCTGCCCCCCCCCCGCCTGCCTCTCTGCCTACTTGTGATCTCTGTCGGTCAAATAAATAAATAAAATATTTGAGAGAATGGGAGGAAGAAAAGATTCTTCCTCCCTCTCCCTCTGCCCCTCCCTCCTCCCTATCTTAAAAAAAATAAGAAGAAAAAAAAGAGAGAGACAATCTGCAAACAGACTCTTAACTATAGAGAACAAAGTGCTGGTTACCAAAGAGCAAGTGGGTGGGGGATGAGTGGAATAGGTGAAAGGGGTTAATTAAGAGTACATTTACCATGATGAGCACTGAGTAATGTATAGAATTATTGAATCACTATATTGAACACCTGAAACTAATACAACACTGTATGGTAACTACAATGGAATCAAAATAATTTTTTTTTTTTAATTTTTGGAGCATGAGTGGGGGAAGGGTCAAAGGGAAAGATTTTTTTTTTTTTTTTAGATTTTATTTATTTACTTGACAGAGAAACATCAAGAGAGGGAACACAAGCAGGGGATGCAAGAGAGGGAGAAGCAGGCTCCCCACTGAGCAGGGAGCCTGATGCCAGGCTCAATCCGAGGACACTGGCATCGTGACCTGAGCGGAAGCAGACACTCAATGACTGAGCCACCCCGAGAGGATCTTAAGCAGGCTCCATGATCACGGAGAAGGCCAATGTGGGGCTCCATCTCACGGCCCTGAGATCATGACCTGAGCTGAAATCAAGAGTCCGAGGCTTTACTAATTGAGCCACCCAGGAGCCCCTAATTTTTTTTTTTTAGATTTATTTATTTATTTGACAGCGGAATCACAAGTGGGCAGAGAGGCAGGCAGAGAGAGACGGGGAAGCGGGCTCCCCGTGGAGCAGAGAGCCCCGGTGGGCCTTCATCCCAGGCCCCAGAGACCATGCAGAGGCCCAACCCACTGAGTAACCCAGGCGCCCCCTAATTTTTTTTTTAAAGAAAGACTATATATCTTTGAAGAGACATAATCAAGGATTCAACACTTACAGTTTTCTAATGAAATGGCTTCACAAAAATCTTAAAAAACAAGTATCTCATAGGAATAATTCTTGCCATATGTGATATACATTCATTCCTGAAAAGCTAGATGATAAACTGACCCAAATTTCAACTGCACTTGGGAAATCTGTTTCCTAAAGATGCTCTATATTAAATCTTCTTTAAAAGAAAAAAAAGGAGTCCATCTAAATGAAAACTAGGCGAATAATCGAAGGAAATGCCAGGCTAAAAAGCTGTTGGTCTAAGAAAAGATTCTGCCAGCCTTAGGAGTGCATTTTAAAGATTCAAGATCTCTACTCAGTCTAGGATTAAATCCAAGCCAGAGGGTGGAAGGGGGTGCTGTTGAGTGAAGCTGCAGTTCCAGGATTCTCCAGCAGGGGCGCCATAGCACAGTCAGCGAATACGCAGAGCGGCCCCCAGCTCTAAGGCAACCAGCACCTTCCCAGAATGTGTTTGAAGCACTTTCATGCCTCAAAATCAAACCTACAGACCCTGTGACCCAGCGATGCCACTTGCAGAGATTTATCCAAGGTACACTTGCACACGTGCAAGAGGATGTACCGCAGTACTGTGTATAAAGGCAAAGGCTTGAACTCAACCCCCACGGCACTCCATAGGATCCTGATGTGATTTGTTGTGGGCACAACCCCACTGTGAAATATTATGCAGCCAGTGAAAGGGATTAAGACATTTGTCTTATGGATGTTATCTCGATTAAAAAAAAATTGGGGGGCGCCTGGGTGCCTCAGTGGGTTAAGCCTCTTCCTTTCAGCTCAGGTCATGATCTCATGTTCCTGGGACTGAGCCCTGTGTCAGGCTCTCTGCTCAGCAGGGAGCCTGCTTCCCTCTCTGTCTCTGCCTTCCTCTCTGCCTACTTGTGATCTCTCTCTCTGTTTGCAAATAAATAAATAAAATCTTTTACAAATTTAAAAAATTTTTTAAAAGTTAAAAAAAAAAATTTAGTGCTATGGATCGAATTGTCAGCCCCCTTCCTCCCCCACAAGAAATATATGTTGAATCCCTAACACCCAACAGGATGGTATTTGGAGATGGGTCTTTGGGGAGGATGAGGCCATTCATGGTGGGGCCCCATGATGGGATTTGAGCCCTTATAAGAAGAGACACCAGAGAGCTTCTTGATTTCTCTATGCCAAGAGAGGACACAGCAGGAAGGTAGCCATGTGCAAGCCAGGAAGAGAGTCCTCACTCGCACTAAATAAGGTTGGTGTGCTCGTCTTGGACTTCAAACCCCAGAACCGTGAGAAGTAAGTCTCTGCTGTTTCAACTGCTCAGGTAATGGTGTCTGTTATGACAGCCTGAGCCAATTAAGAGGGCAAGACGGTACAAAATCTGTGGGTGTGCAACAGTTTCCAAGATATACTACTAAGTGAAAAAGCAAGATGCAAAGCAGTGCTAAAATTGTATATAAAAAAAAAGAGAGAAGTGTTTACCTGTCAGCTCGTTAATCCACAGAATAGCTCTGGAAATTTCCAAGGATTCCCCACAGCGATCACATCCTACAAGGGGAACTGGTGCTTTTCAAATTGTGTAAAATGTGAACAAGAGACTAAATCCCTTTACTATCATCCTATCAAACAACCAAACAATGGAGTGAGCTTCAGGTTCCCTTAGACGATAAAGGAGCCTGGGGTCAGGGGCACCAGGCCCAGTGGGAAATTAGGTCTAGTCCTGGGAGCGTCCCAGTTTCAGTGTGTTTGTGTTCCAGGAAATAGGTTGGTTTCCCGTGCATGTGGCCCGCAGGGACTACCTGAGCGTGGCCAATGGACACTCGGGCCCCCAGGGTGAGTCCGTGGCCCCCAAAACACACTAGGGTCTTTGCGGCTGCCTGCAGTTACTCGGGTCTCCCGGCAAGTGGCGCCGCGCGGTACTTTGAGCCCAAAGCCCCCTGCCCCTCCCCCGGGCCGCAATGCGGCACTGGGGTCAGGAATGCGTCTAGGGACAGCTGGTACCCAGAGCCAGCATGCCTGGAGCCTTTTATGGGCACAAACAGGCCCCTGGTATCGCCCCCAGACAAGAATGCAGACCACTCAGGGAGGGAGCGTCTGCCCTTGCCATGCCTCTCTGAAGAAGCCAGACACTAATCTAGGCCTGCCCCCCTTAGGGCCTGGGAGTCTGGCGATCTGGACTAGTATACTGGCTTCCACACTGGGCCAGGTACTCACTGCTCATGTGTCAAATCCGGGTGAGGAAAGCTACCTTGCAAAGTTGCAGTAAGGGCGAGGAAAAGGTGTGTCCTGGGCCTACCACTGTGGGGATGACTGGCCCTGCACAGTAAGCTGTAATTGTTCTTATTATTTTATTAGGTTTTTAATTTTTTTATGATATGACACCACACTCAAAGAAATCTTGTTTCAGATAGGAACTGGCTGTCTTCCACAGTCAAATTTTAGTTTAGGGTGCCGTGTCTTTAACATTCCCTCCTCTAAACGAGATTCTTTTATCTCATGCCTACACTCAATTCCTCAGTAATTCTGTCCACATAGCCTGAGCCCCTATCGTTGCTCCTCTGGGCCAGTGCAGGCACTTTCACCTTGTTCTAGCTTCGACCTTCCCCCTTACAGAGATCTGTGAACATCTCAAGCAAATCAAGTCCAACATCTGCCTCCCACTTCACTCAGAGTAAAAGCAAAGTCCTCCACGGAGCCCACAAGGCTCTGCCCACTCTGCCCCATCATATTCCTGCCTTTGTTTCCTCCCACCACCCCCCCTCCGTTGTTGCTCCAGCCACGAGGAGATCTTTGCTTTTCTGAGAAGGCACAGGCATGTTCTGGCCTCAGGACCTTTGCACTGCTGTTCCCTCACCCTGCAACGCTCTTCTTTCAAGTGTTCCCAGGGCAATGACGGCTCAGCTTACGGTATATGTCACACTTCTGCAGCGGAGCATCCCCTGACCACCATGGATGGCATCACTGTATTGTAGCTGCAATTCCCTCCATGATTTCTTCACTCTGTTATTGCCTGTGTTCCCCATCAGGATGTCAATGCCACGAGGGCCGCTGATTTTTGTGTTTCACTTACTGCTCTGAGGTTTAGCATAAATAAAACACGTTTCCCTTTGTCTCTTCTGCCGCCACCATCTTCAGCTGCTTTTCCTACCAATTCCTTATTTAAAAAGAAAAAGTCTGCCAAACGGCCCTGAGGGAGGGTAACGGCAGGCCAAAGGGCATCAGTCGGCGGCCGGTGCAGGTACCAGGGTCCGGGAGGTTATGGGCGCCCCAGGGCCGCCAGCGGAGACGCTCGTGTCCAGCCCGTCCCGCTGCGGGGACGAGCGCTCGGAGCGGCTGGAGCTGCCATCCAAGCCAGGGGGCAGCCAGCGGTTCAGGCCTTCCGAAGCCCCAGCGGGGCTCCCGGAGCCCTGGGAGGCGTCCTGCCCTCTGTGGCAGGGGCGGCGGCCGCAGCAGACCAGGCGCAAGAGAGCGAAGCGCAGGTCTCGGTTGGTGAGCGTGTAAATGATGGGGTTCAGGAGCGAGTTGGCCATGGCCAGGCCCAGGAAGGGGTCGGCCTGCAAGAGCACGGGGCAGGCGCGCGCGGGGCACGCCACGTCGAGCAAGAGCAGCAGGAAGAGGGGGCCCCAGCACGCCACGAAGGCCAGGAGCACCACGCTGAGCGTGCGCAACAGCGCCAGCGAGCGCGGCGTGCGGCGTGCGCGGCCCGGGGCGCCCCTCGCGGTCCCCGGGCGTCCCCGAAGGCGCCGCGCGTTGGCGCGCACCTGGCAGTAGATGTGCGCGTAGAGCGCGCAGATGGCGGCCAGGATGCCGAGGAAGGCGAGCACGCAGAAGAGCACGTAGGCCTTGGCGTAGAGCGGCAGGATGGTGGAGCAGGTGTCCAGGCGGCCCAGACAATTCCAGCCGAGCGCCGGCAGCAGTCCGAGCAGCAGCGACACGCCCCAGGCGGCGGCCGCCATGGCCAGCGAGCGGCCCCGACGCGCGGCGGGCGCGGGTCCTCGGCGGGCCATGGTGAGGCGGCGCTCGAGCGCGATGGCCAGGAGGCTCAGCACGGACGCGGCGAGCGCCACGAAGACGCCACCTTCACGGGCGAACCAGAGCGCGGGCGACAGGCGCAGCGTGAGGGGCCCCGACAGCAGGATGTTGGCGGCATAAGCCGCGCCCGCCATTAGGTCGGACAGCGTCAGGCTGCCCAGGAGCAGGAACATGGGCGCGTGGAAGCGCGGGTGGCGCCCCAGCACGAACAGCACCGCCAAGTTCTCGAGCACGATGAGGGCGCACACCGCCAGGCACACGACGGCGTCGGCACGCAGCCCCGCGCCTGGCTGGTAGCGCGCGCCACGAAGCTTGCCCGTGTAGTTGTAATGCAAGACGATGACCTCGCTCACCGGCGCCGGACGCAGCAGCCCCGACTCCATGGGCCGCTTGCCCCGAGGCTGCGGAGAGATAAGGGACAGCGTGAGGCCTGGGGAGGTAGGTGGGCACGGTAGGGGCTCGCAGCCCTGGGGAAGGTGGCCCTGCCCACCACTCCACACTGACCCCGGGGCTCAAAGGGGGTTAGGGATGGAAAGGAGGTGGCCATGGAGAGGAGCAGACACAAAGACACGCTAATAATATCACGAGGGGACACAGGAACAGAGTCCCACAGGAAAGGGACACTAGTAAGTCACATATAATCAGGGATATCCAGGGGCAGATTCAATCATAAGCAGACAAGGACGCACACACGAATACAGTGACACGTTGACAATGACTTGTACTCACAGTCACACCCCATGGGGGAAACAAGAAAATATATGCACACAGGAGCGGAGCAACATAGCCAGAGTCACACAGGGACCCAAATTCAGCCACAGAGATGGTCTCACCCACTCGTTCAGGCCACAATTTCACAGCCTCCACCCTCAGCCAGCCCGGAAACCCGGAACCTCACAGTCTATGTGAGAAAGTTGTCTGCCCTCCCATTTTAGAGAGGCAGAGCCTGAGGGCAGCAGACAGGATCCAGATGGCTTTTGCAGAGGGGCGCACGTGTTATTACAGTGTAATAATACTTCCTGCCCAAGACTTCATCCTCTAATCCCCTCACAGCTCTCAGTCCCAGTTTACAGACTGGAAACCGTTGACTCAAAAGTTCCTCGAATAAGAAGGGGACACGAAGGTTTTCATGTTTCAACACAAATACAGCTCTTCAGAAATGCTCAGACAGTCGCGCAAGTCCCACTTAATGGATGAGAAAATCGAGGCTGGGAAGGGAAACGGACTTACTGGCACAGGGCAGGAAAAAATGCACCCCGGCTGGCATCGGTTGCCCTTGGGGAACCTGGCGCGAATACAGACCCAGGGAGTCAGGACTCAGCCACACTGCGGGGAGGGAGGCATCAGATCCGTGCAGACACGGGTGACGCTCTGATGCGGACACAGAGCCAGAAGCTCACAGCCTCGGCATCTCCCGCCTCGACTCGGAGTCCCTGGAAACAGGACTGAAGTAGCGAAACTTGCAGTGTGGCCGGGAGACGGAGAAGGCGAGGCCACGGGAGTCCAGGAGCCCCTTTTCCAAACCCCGGCCCCCGCATCCAGCCCGGGAGTCGCCGCCTTCCCTCCCACCCCCGCAACCCCCTTCCCCTGAGGCTTCCGGGGAGATACAAACAGGGGTCCGGGGCAGCGGTCAGAGCAATCCCCTGCGGGCCAGACTGAGCCCCGCGCCCCTGGAGACCGAGCGCAGTACACTCACCCCCGCGCCCTGGTCGTGCGCCCGCGGCAGTTGCTCTGCCCGGAGCAGAGTGAGCGGACGCGGCTCCGGGGGCGGGACCGGAGCTGGCAGGCGAGGGGGAGGGCCCACGACGCGGACCTCTGGCGGTCGCCAGCAGTCGCCCCCTCCCCTTGGGGCCCGGGCACCCAGCCCATGGCTGCCAGCCTGTGCCACCCGCCGCGGCACCGGAGCGCGCCCCGTCGGCGACTGGCACCGGCGAGCCCTTGGCTCCCCCCTCCGGGCCTGAACTGCTCCCAGGGACCGCTCCGTCCCGGTGGGAGGACCGGGAGAAGCGGGAAGGGGAGGTTCTCAGCAGGGGCGGCCGTAGCCTGAGCCTCTTCCTGGCCCCCAGCAGAGGGGTCCCGTCTGTGCTATGGGGCCTGGACACTGGTCCCTGCCCACTTCCCGCCTACCTTGCAGCTGAGACTCCGGGATGCACCCCGAGAACGCCCCGTCGGCGACGGACCCCAGGCACGCAGGTTAGGAGAGATCTTCAGCAAGGTGACAATAGCCTCAGTTCCCCGACCCCAGCAGTCACCTTCGGGTGGCTCCGGGCGCTGGGCCTTCTCCATCCCCTCCTCCCCCGCTCCCACACCTGGCTTAGAGGGAGTTGGGGAGGAGCAGGAGAAGGCAGGATTCTGGTGGGAACCTCCTTCTCCCCAAATGAGGAAGTTCTGGCTCCCCCACACCTGGTCTCTGCTACCCTTACTGCTCCCAACGATATGATTTACTCATTTAACATGTTTCTGGGCTGTGTCCCCACCAGAAGGTCAGCCCCCATGGAGGCAGGCCCCACCCCTGCAGGGGCACAGCCCAGGCCCAGTAAGTTATCTGCTGAGTGAGTGAATGAATGAATGAGTGTACAGTTGCTTTCTGTGTGTGTATCTCATTCATCAGATCTGGGGTCTGTCTCTCTTTCTCCTGGTCTCTCTCGTGTCTCTCTCAGTCGTTGGCTGTCTTTGTCTATGTCGCTCTCCCACGCCTCTCCCAGGCTTCCGCTTCTCCAACGGGCCAGTCCCAGCTGGCCCCACACCCCCACTCCCAGTTCCCAGGAGTTTCCTGGCCAGGCCCGACTCCCCCACCCTCAGACAAGAGGCTCTAGCTGGGAAGGGGGCACTGGGATTGGTGGCTGCCCTTTGACTCAGCCATGAGGGGAGGATTAGGGGGTGCCCCCCGGTGAGGGATGGAGAGGGGCACCCAGGCCTGGTCATAGACCCATGTAGCCCCTTGGGGATCCCTGAGGCTTCTACCCGCACTGTTCCTTGGGGAGACAGAAAGGTTCCTGCTTGCTCCAACCAAAGACACACACAGGGCAAGTGCAGCCAGTGGGGCCAGGGTGGGGGGATGGGGAATGCCTGGGTGGGGGTGCCCTACAACCTGGCCTTCCAAGCCATCAGGGATGAGCCCTGAAGATTCCCCAGATGCAGTGCGACCACCCAGATGCTGGATAAATGACCCCCTTCTGTGAAAGGGAAGCCACACCCTTTGTGGGAAGGTGGCCTCTTCACACCTCCCTGGGCCCTCCCACCGCCACTGTCCACCCCTAGTACCCCTTTTCTGTTAGGGGTACTAGGGGTACTAGGACCCTGCCTTCTCTAGCTCTGTGCCTCCACCGCTCTCCACCGTTCCACACCTGTGGCCACAGTTCTTAATACCCAGATCATGTCAGGCGCCTGGGTGGCTCGGTGGGTTGGGCCGCTGCCTTCGGCTGGGGTCATGATCTCACGGTCCTGGGATCGAGTCCCGCATCCGGCTCTCTGTTCGGCAGGGAGCCTGCTTCCCTTCTCTCTCTCTGCCTGCCTCTCTGTCTACTCGAGATCTCTCTCTGTCAAATAAATAAATAAAATCTTAAAAGACAAAAATACCCAGATCAGGTCCCTCTCCTGCTCTAAATTCTCCCATGGCTCCGGGTGACTCAAAGTAACTGCCACAGTGCTCACCATCGTCCACATAGTCCCGCTCTGTGTCTCCTTACTTACTTCACTGCTGTCCCTGCCTCCAGCCACCCTTTGCCCTCCTGCCCCGGTGGCCTCCGACTGATTCCTCCGACCGATTCCTCACACAATTCAGGACCCTTGTTCTTGGGGATAAGTTACCCTTTCCCCCAACACTTCCCAGCTGGTCACCTCCTCAGAGAGGACTTCCTTGATCTCTCTCCCTCCTCCCCAGTCTCACATGGTATTTGGCACTGTGTGAAACTACCTTATTTGTTTATTCACAGTGCCCTAACCCCCAGATCCGGGAAGGCAGAAAGAAACCCTGTCTGTCTCTCTGGCCCGATGTCATCTAAATAGAAAGGGTTCGGAGTCTGGTGCCAGGCTCAGCTACTCTGTAGTCTAGGACCATGGGCAAATAATCCTCAGTGGCCTCATCTGTAAAATGGACTTAATAACAGTGTCCTCTCTGAGGGATACTGAGGATGAAAGGTATGATTAGAACAGAACCAGATGGGGCGCCTGGATGGCTCAGTGGGTTAAAGCCTCTGCCTTCAGCTCAGGTCATGATCCCAGGGTCCTGGGATCGAGCCCTGCATCGGGCTCTCTGCCTGGCCCGGAGCCTGCTTCCTCCGCTCTCTCTCTCTGCCTACTTGTGATCTCTCTCTGTGTCAAATAAATAAATAACATCTTTAAAAAAAAAAAAACAGAACCAGAATTAAAAAAAAAAAACAAAAACAAAAAGCAGAATCAGGACATACTGTGAGAGCTCCATAAATTTTGGGTACTCTGGGTCAACATTGTGTCCCTGAGGAGGAATTAGGAGGGGCCTCAGCTCAGGCTTCATGGGCCTTAAGCACCCCCCACCCATCCTTCCCGCCCCCACACAGCCCCAGCCCCAGTCAAGCCCGGTCTCTTCCCTAGGGAAGGGCAGCTCATGGCACAGCCCGAGCACCTGATGCGTGCCTGGGCGGGCACCCACCGAGCAGGTTCTGCTCCCAGCGCCCTCCCACGGGGGCTGCCCCGCCCGGTCAGCACCCACTCTCAAAGCAGAGTCAGCACCAGCGAGAGGACAAAATGCCCAGCGCTGTGGTCTCAAACCCCCACCCGCCTCAAGGGTTGCAGGACCGCAGCTGGGGGTAGGGGGGGAGGTTCCATTTCGCCCTCTCCACCCCATTTGCACGGATGGATCTTGAGCCCTGAATGCCGTAGGCAGGGAGGAGCAAACTGACAACTCTCCCCAGGCACCCCCTGCCCTGGCCAGAGACCAGAGAACTCATGGTTGGGGGGGGCCTCTCAAACTGGAGGCCCAAGGACCCCGGGCCTGTTCGCTTAGCTCGGAGGCCTCCCATTCAAATAACCGGCGGACCTGCCCGGAAACACTGTGCTTTAGCTGGTAAATCTGTTGCTTGCAGGGGTGCAGGCTAACAACTCGGGGACTATTTATATGCCAGTGTTGAACTGGCAAGTACATAGGGTCCATACCGACGGCCAGATTCCGGCTGGTGCAGAAGGAAGTTGCGAATGAGCAAGGTGGGCACGCCTGGCTGGCTCGGGCGGTGGAGCGTACCTGCTCTTGATCTCAGGGTTGTCGGTTTGAGCTGCACCTTGGGTGTAGACATTACTTAAAAATAAAATCTAGAAAGAAAGAAGAAAGGAAGGAAGGAAGGAAGGAAGGAAGGAAGGAAGGAAGGAAGGAAGGAAAATGGTGCTGGACTGTGGTTAGCAGTATGATGTATTCATTTTATTTTTTTTAAAGATTTTGTTTACTTATTTGATGAGAGATGCAGCAAACAGAGAGAGAAGGAACACAAGCCACGGGAGTGGGAGAGGGAGAAGCAGGCCTCCCGCCGAGCAGGGAGCCCGATGTGGGACTCATCCAGAAGCTCCGAATCATGACCTGAGCCAAAGGCAGACACTTAACGACTGAGCCACCCAGGTGCCCTGATGTATTTATTTTAATAGGCACAAGGGGCGCCTGGGTGGCTCAGTCGTTAAGTGTCTGTCTTTGGCTCAGGTCATGATCCCGGGTTCTTGGGATCCAGCCCCAGAGCAGGCTCCTTGCTCAGCGGGGAGCCTGCTTCTCTCTCTCTGTCTGATGCTTCCCCTTCTCATACTCTCTCTCTCTGACAAATAAATAAAATCTTTTAAAAAGATAGATATGAAAATAAATATAAGTGTGTGTATACATGGGTTAGTAAACACACACATGTTTCCTGGCACTGTCTGCTGAAGGTTCGGAAGCATTGATACCCCAGGAAAAAATGAATACACTCAGCTACCAGGTTTTTTTTTTTCTTAAGATTTTATTTATTTTACAGAGAGAGAGAGAACAAGCAAGGAGAGCAGCAGATGGAGAGGGAGAAGCAGACTCCCCGCTGAGCAGGGAGCCGGATACAGGGCTCTATCCTAGCACTCTGGGATCAGGGCCCGAGTGAGTGCAAGGGAGACGCCTAACGATTGAGCCACCCAGGCGCCCCAGCCCCCAGGTCTTGCTCTCTAAATACCATTTTCCAGGGCGCCTCGGTGGCTCAGTGGGCTAAAGCCTCTGCCTTCGGCTCAGGTCATGATCCCAGGGTCCTGGGATCGAGCCCCAAATCGGGCTCTCCGCTCGGTGGGGAGCCTGCTTCCTCCTCTCTCTCTGTCTGCCTCTCTGCCTACTTGTGCTCTCTCCGTCAAATAAATAAATAAAATCTTTAAAAAAAAAATGGAGGAGAAGGGACAAATGTCCCTGACAGGAGACTTTCAGTTAATAAATGTAGAATGAGAGGTTCCTGGGTGGCCCAGTCGATTAAGTGTCCGACTCTCGGTTTTGGCTCAGGTCGTGATCTCAGCGTCATGATCAAACCCCGCTTGGGGCTCCGTGCTTAGCTCAGAGTCTGCTGGTGAGTCTCTCTCCCTCTCCCTCCCCTTTTGCTCCTCCTCCACTCAGTCCACACTCTCTCTCTCTGAAATAAATAAATAAAATCTTTAAAAAAAATAAATGTAGAATGAACGACGAAAGTAGAAAATTGCCATTAGAATGCCACAGTAAATGACTGCGGGAGGCAGAAGCCACTGATGGATGAGAAATTTAATGGACAAAACTTTAAGGAGAAAAAGGAAATTTGCATAGCCTCAGAGTTTCTACCCCTAAATATCTCTTAACCACGTTGATGTCTTTTTTTTT